AAGTGAATTTTTAAGACCAGCAAAGGTGTAAATTATTTGTGACCTCTATAATTTGCAGTTCATGCCACTATCCTTGAGATAAAAATTCTGTAACATTTTATTGAGCACGCTTCTCGCTTAAAATACTTATTTAGGTTAATGTTTATAGCCCTAAACTAGTGCATAATGTTGAATTTAGAAGTAAAATATTTTTTAGTGTTTTGTTTTATTCATAACTGAAGCTGCAGAAGGAGGCGACCACAAACCCAGTAAAGCGGAGCAAAGTGACAGACCGTAATGTGGTGCCATCTATCGATGAATAGATTTAACTAGATCAGTCATGTAAATAAATAATATTGTGTACTATGTTTTGAAAGTTGCGATGTGTAATTTTCGACGCAAATCTCGCCAAGCAGACTTTATTGGTGACAACATATACATAAAAAATTTTAGCAAGTTCTAAGAATTTTTTCTAAGAATTTTTTATTTCTATTTTATATCTATCTAAATTATTTCATTTTTTAGTTCTAAGAATTTTTTATTTTGAAGGCATAAACATTTTAATATCATTTAAAATTTTCTAAAAAGCCAATAAATAAAACAATTTGTAAAAGGACATTAATTTAAGAATATACTATGCTTTCATGTTCAAAATCCTGATTCGCCAGTTCATATCACATGACCCCAAGTGATCTCATCTCACACAAACTACGCTACAAAAATATAATTCTCTCTAATTATCTACATTAATTTCAAGTTTAGTTAAGTCTTAATTTGGAATACAAGTTTAAATGCAAGAATTACTTCAATTCGTACAAACAGCTTATTCAGAAATTATGTAAAACCTCAGTGCTTTACTTTGCTAGTGCATTCTCAATTAGAATTGATGAATTTAATCCTTGACTTTGCCTTTTCTACATTTTCACCTTCAAGTGAGCGGTGTAATTACATTCTAATTGACTTAATTACGACAAATGGCCTTAGGGCATAAAACTGTACTATCTGATAAAAATTCTATGTAATCATATACCAGTACTGAAAGAAACAATCAATCTGGTAAGAAATGGCTGCGACTTGTTTTGAAAATGAAGCGTGAAAGGTTACCAGTGAGGATATTCAGTTTGGCATCAGTTGTACTATTATTGGCGACTTTATTGGTTGAGCAGGCAAAACAGAAAAGTACCATAATAGGTTATTTTAATGTTTTTCTTATAAAATATAACTTTTCTCAATATCTGTTAAAAATGTATAAATTTTCATATTATTTTTCATTCGTTTTACGTAGGTTGGGGCAAAAGTCATGGCAACTATTTTTTTTTCCGTGAGCATACCAATCCGGTTGGAAAATGTGACATATACAGACGAAAGGACAAGGTCTCAACTACATGTGTGGACAATGAATAGCACCTAAATATCGTAACACACGATTTTATTACGGTAGCATACAGGGCAATATAGCCTTCACCGTGCAAAAGGATGATAACACAATACACATAAAGTTGGCATGACAAACCTGGGCCTAAAGACCTTCAATGGACTCCCTGCTACTGTCACCACACGCTGCCATGTAGCAGACGCTGAATACCATCAGCCTCAGCATTTGCCGCACCATCGGGACATTTGTTGGCGCACAGCATTAGCAATGTCCTCTGGTGTTGCAAAATCTTGGGAATGAGATCAAAGTCACAGGAAAGAAGGTCAGGAGAGTACGGTGGGTGCTCCAATTCTTCCCCATCACTAACGCCGGAGTAGCTGCCGTACACATCCTGCTTTATGTGGTCTTGCATTATCGTGCAGAATTATTGCACTGTCCACAAGATTCGGACATTTATTTCGAATGCCACGTCGTACCTGTCGCACCAGGAAGTCCCTGTAGTACTGTGCGGTCACTGTTCTGCCATGAGGAACAAAGTGGCAAACAATGACACCCCTGACGTCATATGTGACGATCACCATCAATTTGACTGGGGAAGGATTCTGACACTAGCTCATTACGCAATATCCTGTGGACGGTGTGTTTCTCGATGCTACTCGCCCTCTCTAACTCCAGTAATATCCATAGTCTGTCATGATCCATGAGGTGCTCGATGACGGCACGTGCCAAGTCGGTCCGCACACTCACCGGTCGTCCCGAACTTTTCTCATCACTGGTTTACACACGACCTTGCTGAAATTTTCCTACCCACCGTGCTACTGTGCAATATGGTAGGGCATTATTCACAAGGACTTCTACTAATTCACTGTGACATTCCATCGCATTTCTCCCTCGGAGAACGGCTATTTTGATGTAAGCGTGCTGCTCAACACGGGTGACTTCCATCTCGCAAGGCACTCACCGACTGATTTCTGAACCCTTTCCTGAATGTGTTAATAAAGTTCTAGCCTAAAAAGGCAATTTTCATTGGAAGAGACTGGTTATGTATTAAGTAAAATGGTTACTCTATTTTTGTTAGACTCAGCAGCTGCCGAGCGTTGAAGTCATTGAACACTGGCAGTTCAGTCTGAATTTGAATCCCGTGAACACAGGCTGTTTTCGTGGTTTTTCCCATGTGTAACATGTATACGAGGTAGTTTTCCTTAGAAAGTCCTCCAGAAAGGCATCCCTCCTCTTAGGCAAAGAGCCCTCTGGCTTTGCCGTAATTACATAAACCAAACTTACTTCTGTTAGGTGGCCGCTAAACCAAAAATGAGAAAGAGAAGGCAGGTAAGAAAAAATAAAATTAATGAGGAATGAAATGAAAATTTATACATTTTAACAGCATTGAGAAAAGTTATATTTTAGAAAAAAAAAAAAAAACATTAATATAACATATTATATTGCAAATTACACATCACGACTTTCAAAACATAGTAAATAATATTATCTATTTACATGACAGATATCGTTAAAACTAGAATCGTTAGATGGCACCACATTATGGTGACTTTTCACGATGTGTCGCTTTGCTCCGCCCTACTTTGTGGCTCCTCCTTCTGCAGCTTCAGTTATGAATAACACAAAACCTTAAAGAATATTTTACTTCTAAATTAAACATTATGCACTAGTTTAGGGCAAAAAACATTAACCTAAGTAAGTATTTTAAGCGAGAGGAGTGGTCAATAAAATGTTACAATATTTTTATTACAAGAATGGTGACATGAACTGCAAATTATAGAGGTCACAAATATTTTACACCTTTGCTTGTCCTAAAATTCACTTTTTTTAATTGTTTCTAATATCAAAATAAAATATATTTGCTGAACTAACCCTCAAGACCATACGTTTCTATATAAAATATAATTCAACGATAGCAATAATTTTTATTGCATTATTTAGATTTTTCAGAACGGACTACTCCTACTACGGTGAGGACAGCAGCCAGTTCAGTCTAGCCTCCGATGTCTCTCGAGTAACTACACTTCGTAACACGAAATGAATGATCCCACCTCACTGCGGATTCTCGCACGATATTCCTACAACCAAGTTATGCCTAAACAGGATCTACCAAATAACTATAATTGCTCCCTATAAATATAATTGCTCATCCCCTCCTACTTCGCTAAAATGGTATCTGAATGCTACGCATTAAAATCTCCTGCACTTAATGCTAGCACAGAAAACGTTATGCTGAGTAATTTCACTTAGTAGCAGAGAAAGTTATGCTGAGTAATTTCACTTAGTAGCACAAAAAATGTTATGCTGAGTAATTTCACTTACTATATTTACTATATACAGGGTAAAGCAATGGTCGGATACCTACATCTGCGACTCCGTCGTTTCATAGGACAGGGAAAGGAAATTTCATTAGTGGGAGGAGCCAAACGATTTTGTAAGGGAAAGAATGTAACATGATGTGATGAGTAAAATATTAATGAAACGTAAAGATATTAGAAATGTGAAAGCATTTGGAAGAGTGAGATTGGAAAATAATTATCATTAAGTAAACAAGGGAAACGTTTGTCATGTGAAAGTGTTCAAAAGAACCCAGTTGATTAAATAAAGAAGCATTACGGATAATTTTTTAAGATCCCATAATAAAATATAATTAAGTGACCACCATACTTAGCTAAAAAATTCCTTTTTCCTTTCGAAATTTAATTCATATTCCCTGACGAGAAATTTCAGCGCTTTTTCAATTTGGCCAATTTACACCAAACAGCACAATGCATATCAAACAATGCTAAATTAAGACAATAATTAAAAGCATATATGAGATGTTCAAGAATCGAACATTGAATTTTACTGATAGGTGAAAAAATAACTTAAATATTGAACTTATGGAGAAGTCAAGAAATTTTGTAATTGATTGTAAATTTAAATAATTATTGGGTACGTGTCAGCTAAACTTCACTGACGGCTTAGTATTGACTAAATATCCAGGGAGTTCCCTGTGTCGGCTAAATGTCCTAATGGCTACCTCTCCATGTCGGCTAAATGTCCTGTCAGCTAACTGTCCGTGTCGGCTAACTGTCCGTGTCGGCTAAATGCCCTGTGGCTAAGTGTCCTTGTCGGCTAAGTGTCCTGTCGGTTAAACGTCCTGTCGGCTAAGTATCCTTGTCGGCTAACTGGTGTCAGTTATGTGTCCCATCAGCTAAGTGTCCACGACCAATATATTATATACAAGGCCTATTATTTGTGGAAAATTAATCATTTCCAGAAACTAAAATTACGAATTTTAATAATTTTAATTTATGCATAAAAATATACAATAATCTAAATTGAAAAATATATAATAATCTGTACAATAATGTATTCATGAGCAATAATGTATACTAAATAACATATTCAGAGTATTAATCTAAAACAGGTCCATGGCATATAGCTAATTACATTACTATACAAGTAAACTTTAAATCTGAAGGAAGAGTGACTCTTATCTCATGATATGCGAAAAATTATTTATTCCATAAGAACTTATAAAAATGATAAAATGGCATATGTTCTTACACAATACATTCTTTAAATGCTCAGCTACTTGTATAAATGAAGAAATATTAAAATAGTAAAATAAATGCAAAGGTATAAAAGAAAAAGTGCTAACTTGTAATCTCCATGACCAAGTGCACCACCAAAACCCCATGAGTAAACTTCACCATCATGAGTCAGGGCCATATGATGTGCTCCTCCAACATTAGCATCTATTTGTATAACTTCTTTACCTCCAAAACCATTCAAAAGAAGAGGAACCTAAGAATTAGAATACACAGATATTGCCTGCTTAACAATACTATTTATAAGAATTCACATTTATACAGATGTTAAATGCAGATCTGGCTACAGTAGATTTAGTGATCCAAAAATATTAAAGTTCAGGGAAGAGCAGTTGTCTAACTTAACTATACTTCCTGATATAGACAGAGATTCATGATCACTATAATTAATATATAAAAACTACTGCCATAAGTAGCATACTCATTGCAAATTGGTTCTTTAAATCTCCACGAGTAATCCAGTTGACTACACAAAACAGAAACTCTCTAATTAAAATATGACCTACTTACACTGCACTATAATAATGTAAAATTAGTAGATAAAAGTATATTTCAAAAACAAATAAAAGAAACAAATTAATAAATACTAAAATAATGTAATTAATAAACATATCAATGTATATTAACACCTACTTGACATAAGAAAACATTGATAAAAGCCAAAAAATAAATATTCTGAAATATACAATCTGATCCAAAAAACATTAAATTCATGCACATTTACATAAATCATTAACACAGTTATATATGTAGTGCACACTTATGCTCAGTTCAGAGTTGCTAGCTCTTCTGATTTAAGCGAGAGACTCCCAATTTCCGAACACTATCCCATGAACCCGATTTACAACATATTTCTCCCGACGTTTTCTTATTTTAAAAATTTCTCGTGATTTCTATGTGGCTTGGCATTTAATACTTTGTTATTTGCACCCCCCCCCAAAAGCGATTTTGGACATCTGAAAGCACTTGGTTTTTTTTTTTTTTTTTTTTTTCTAGATTACATATAAAAGAAAATCAAAGTTGTTTCATCAATGAGAAATTATGGAATGCTTCTGCTTTGTGAGTAGGAGCATGTGTCCAAACACATTGTGTTCCAGTTCTCCCATGAACATCAAATGCCACTGTGTGTCATCTGGCATATATTTGCCAAAGAGCACAAAGCAAGATCGAGGCTGTTACTCCATTCATCTTGTCACTGAGCACTGTGAGTGCGATAGCTTTCGAGAAATAATTTAAGAAATTAATGATATTTTGTTTTAGTTATGTATGTGAAAAACGTAAAATACTCATGAACTTTTCAAAAATCCTCCACAAATGACTTTCCTTTTATTATTTCCTCAAGGAAATGTAACACATTTGTGATGTGTACCATTTGTCATTGTCATTTTTCAATTTCACACAGTGGAAGGGCCGATGCTCTCAAACATGTGTGTACACAAAAACACAAGAAAAACATAAGTTCTATTGAAAAAACAACAACAAATTAAATTTTTTATGGAAACAAAGAACCACAAAGTTACTAATGCAGAGTGCCTGCTCTCTGCATTTTTACTGGAACACAATCTGCCACTGAATGCATCGGATCATGCTGCAGCTTTATTTTAAAAAAATGTTTCCATATAGCGAATCACTAAGAAATACTCAGGTGCAAGGACCAAAATGGCTGCAATTGTAAAAGAAATGGGTAAGAAAAATAAATTTTCAGTTACTGATTGAATTAAAACAGTCTGCCTCTCTACCGATGGAAGCAATAATACTGATTAAAAACTGTATCTAATTATTGCTTCTTTTATTAATCCAGTGTCAGAAATTGAATGCAGTTTACTTTCTGTGCCCCTTTTAGGACATTTGACATGCTTTAATATAGCACAGTATAGTTTCTTTTAAGGTTATTAAAACAGTTTCTTTTAAAGTTATTAAAACTTTAAAAGAAAATGCAATTCCTCTAGATAATGCCTTAGCACTTAACACAATAATGTGCCAGTAATGGTAGGCTTAAAGACTGGTGTTGCAGGCATTTTAAAAAGGCAAATTTGGATTTGGAAATTATGAAATGTGCCTGTCACCTCCTAAATTTAGCAGCTGAAAATGGGGCAGCTTCTTAATCTATAAGTGTGCATGAACTTGATATTTATTATTATCTATGAAAGCAGTTCTAAAAGGAAGGAAAAACAAAAAATTCGAACAGCTGCATCATACTGAAATAAGAAAAATTTGAAACATGTATGTACCCATTGGTTATCTATAGAGAAAAGTTTATCCATAACCCTTGACCAACGGAACCCACTTCATACATTTTTTAAGGAAAAAATATATGCTTCTAGAGTTACGGCAAAAGGCTGTACTGAAAGTTATAAAATACCTAAAGAAAATGGAGATATAGTTACTACCTCCTCTATTAAAAATGGGTTTCAGAAAAGTAATTCTGCACCAGTGAGCAATTTAATTGGCAGTTCTCAAAATAATACTACAAAATATAAGGGTAAAGCTGACACACATCTCTCAAAATAAAAAAAATAAAAAAAAAAAGTACTCAACATCGGAAGCATTTTCCGATTAGTGTTAAGTTTATTTCATGAAGAACGAATATTTTTGTTTTTGTCTTCAGACCTTAACAAAGCTTTCTGGCTTATCCTTCGATCTCCTTAATACAGTTTGACAAAGCAGAATTCCATTAATACATGTTTTGCAATCAATGATTTATAATCTGCTTTAAGATATTTCATCAAAGCTTGTAAAACCAATCTTTATTTTGTCTTCTAATTTTATATATGATGGAATTTAGGGTGAAATAGAAAATCAGAAGATGAAGATTTGGTAATGGGGGCTGCAACTAACAAAGTACAGAAGAACTTTCAGAGGAAGACAAGTTTTATTTCCACCCTAGAAGCTAATCTGCTGAGTATGTGATTACATACTACATAAATTTCCAATCTATGATGAAGTGATTTTACATTCTAAAGTAGCAAATATTTCTGTTCAAGCAAATGCATCTTTTTCTGGTGTATTTTTAATAGATTTCTAGTTTTACTTCATTTATTAATTGGAAAATTGAAAAATGCTGATGGAATTTTAAAGTATAGTGCACTGTCTAGAATAATGTTGGCCATCCTGACAACTTCCCATAGCAATGCAAAGTGTGAAAGGATTTTAAGTGTTGTTGTGAAAACAAGAATTAAATTTAAATCTAACATTAGTAATGACACAACAATGAGTAAATGAAAATGACAATGAGAAAAACTTTTATTAACAAATGCAGGCAAATGTGGCAATTACTATCAGCAAAATCATGAAGTTTCTTTCTTAATGAAAGCAAAATATGTCACCATTCATGAAAAAGGATTATTTTTTTTGTTAAAAAATGCAAATACTAAAAATTCTTTTTTATGTGTAAGTATTTATTTCCATTTAAGAATTGGTAAACGGAACTGTCAGATATTAATTAGTAGCTATTCACAGTTAATTAATTCATTATTAAAAAATGTATTTTTATCATGTAAAAAATCTTTTTGTCACTGAGAAAAATCTCCTGATTTTTTAGTGCTGTAGATTGGCAAGTATGTTGTTTTAACAAAAAAGGAATACAAATTTAAAAAAACAAACCAACTAATGGGAAAAAAGAGATGTTTTCTTTTCAAACACTTCACTTCAAAAAAGGCAAATTTCTATTGAGGAGATGCCACTTTACCAGTCTCCAAACATACATGATACCATGAAATCTAATTAGATGGCGATACCCCTTACAATGTAGAAAGCTTCACGAAAATAATACTTAATTTATATGTAACGAATAAAATATGTATAATGTTTAACGGTTGCAATGCCAAGGCTGAGCATACCAAATTTGTGCAACTATCTGGTGTTCTTTAAGCAAAAACAGACTGCTGTACAAATGAGGAAAACTAAACTGCTGTTCTGTTCATATACATACTGCTTTTCACTTAAAGAAAACGTCAAATAATATACAAATTTGGCATTCCATACAGCTTCAGCCATTGTACCCAGTAAACACTGCATATCTTACAAATTCACAGCTGTTCATGTCACAATACAAATTGGTCACCACATCTGCCACATATTTGTTATCTGCCTGTTAATAGAAAAATACTAAAAAACTAATATTTTTCCTGAGCTGAATGTTATCTGAGTATCAGCTGATTATTTTTAAAATTGGATGTAAAAGATTCAAATAATTCTGGTGTACTATGAGCCTTCAGATAACTGGGCAGGATTACAGACTGTTGTGCAGTGCTTAAGCATGCCTGTGAATGAATAAATCACGGCACCAGTTCAAACACCTCTTTAATTTTATGTCATCAGGAACAACTGCTTTTATGAGATTAGAAAGAGATGCAACACAGTTATTACATTGCCTTACTTTATTTTTACATTATTACATTGCCTTACTTTATTTTGGGGTCCTTCCATTTATCACAACTACAGTTAATGTTTAGATTTCCAGTCTAGCCATTACAAATAAGTGAATAATCATATCTCATTACAATACAAGCAGCAAGATACATTTCTTTTTTTAAATCCTATTTTTGGAGCATTCTGAACATTTGCAAAAGTGAAAGGAAATGTTTTTGTTTCCAAAACTGTAATTCTGCTTTTTACTTTCATACACAAAATGTATTTTATACCAAAAACATAATCTTCAACTATCCTGCATAGCAATTATATATTTTTTTAATATTGTAATGAAAAGGTTTTCAGGTGCAGTGCTTTGCCCAGCCATAAACAGTAAATTCTAGACAAAGGAAAGGTTATACCTGTAAATTACAACAAATTAGAAACAATGAACGTATTTCAAGGTTATTTTAATTCCTTTAAAAAAACAATATTCTCTCCCATTTATTATTAATGGGCTTTAAAGAAGCACTGAGATCATAGATCTATCACAAAGATACATTCAGATTAAGATATTTATTACAGCAGACAGACAAATGACTTTAAAAATAAATTTTAAAAACTAGCACATACATCCAGAATTCTTCAAATTTTAAAGACCATGGTTTTAAATAATGTATTAGTTTACTTTAAAACACATACACTACACTCTTAATACAGTATTAATAACTAAGTATATTAATAACTCTTAATATAGTATTAATAACTAATAAGTAATGTATTAGAAAACTTATGGTTTTATTAGACTGGTTTTTATTTTTATACTGGTTTACTGAATAATCCAAACGAAAATGCATTGGCACAAATAAATAAATAAATAAATAAAAAACTAAGTAAACCAAAATGTAAAATGGGAAATTAAAGCAATAGCTATAAGCTATTCCGCATCTTAAAACCAGTCCCTAAAAATTTCACAATGTACAGATTACTAACTTTAGGAAAGCAATTAAGCTTTACAAACAATATGACTTTATTTCTAGAAATTTATATTGGTAATGTATTAACATAAGTGGACTAATTAATCTGATAAGATACATAATACAAGTTTTATTGACTAGATAGAAAAAAGAAGCCCATGCAAATCACTGAAAACTATGTAACTTAAAACACTAAGAGTTCAGTAACTAGAGAGTACTTACTTCAGCAGAAGCACAAATATTTACTGTATAAACTCTCCCACATTTAGTCAGTATTAAAAGGCGAGTGCGGTTACAGCACATCTGAGATATACGTAACTCGGATACCACTTTCCATTTATAAAGAGTAGAATTGGTTTTGTTGGTATTCCAAGGCAGCCGACCTAAACTAAACACTTCACGGACTTCACTAGAGCTTTGCTATACAAAATATATTGTAAAAATATAAGAAAACACTAATTTCACACATAAAGATACTAAACAAATGGATATCATATTTTAAAAGATATATGAAGATAAAATATATATGCACTGAAGAGCCATTACATTATGAGTTGATACTGTTGTAGCTGTTGCTGATTTCGACTGTTGTAACAATTCTACCATGATCAACAAATTGCTGGCCAGAAACTTGACGTTTCACCATCCATACACCACTTTTGATAACTGCTCACAACAGCTGCACACAAGCAGCCTAACAAATATGCAATTTCTAAAATTCATGTTCCCAGGCACCGAGCCAAAATGATTTGACCTTTACTAAAATCTTTATCTTTAGCAGCTTTTCGCACTATGTCACTAAACATTCAGAATATTGCATGGTCACTTTATATATTCCAGCATCAGTTGCGTGTGCACCATGATTTTGTTTGTTTCTGTGCAAGCTTATTGCTCTAAACGAGGGGTGGGCATAATGCAATGCTTCTTCAATGTATGTATGTATATATACATACACATAATACACAGCCTGATATAGAAAATGCAACATGATGAAGATTCAGTCGTATAAATATGATAATTTCTGGGAACACACAGGGAAACAAGTTATGCATATGATTAAAGAGGCAAGTTGATTAATAGTGCGAGATAAGGGAAGGAAATGG